GACTGCAATACTTTTAATGTGAAATTAAGAGAGGAAGTGCTGCGTTTTATTCTTTGCACTCTGACATCGTGCAAGAGCGGATGTGGTTTTTCCTGTAATAAATTACTAAAATATTATTTTAAATGGGTAAAAAATATTAGTGCATATATGAAACAGTATCATCGTGTTAGCGTTTAGAAATGTTCTTCTTCTTCAAATAAAAAAATACTGAATTTGTTCTCTTTGTGCCGTGTTCAGTTGAATGTTGGTTTAAATGTTTTACACATCACAGAAACTTTGTTATATTTACATTTTGTTTCATACATTTATTATTTACTGTACACCAAGTAGGAAAGGAGTTACATGTTGACAGGATGATGCCTCCACCCACTAATGTAAACTGTTTCCAGATCTGTTCTCTCTTTTCAAAGAAGAAGTCCTAGTTTTGGTTCAGTCCTTTGCTTTTCTTCTTGTTTGCATGTTTATTTCAGGACTTTTACAATACATTTTAAAAGTTGCCAAGTCATTTTTGTTTCAAACCTGATAGTTCTCACCTGATAAGGTGCTGTATTTCATTAAGATTAAGCAGCAAATGTCAGGATAGGCTTTTATTTGTAGGCCTTCTTTTTGATATCAAAATCTGACAGTGACATCAAAAGCACTGTGGTGATTTGCTGCCACCTGCTGCCTGCTGCCTGTCACTGCTCAGGTTGTCCATCTCCGAGAGGAAACTGTGGAGCTACATCAGAAAACTAACTGTATGATATGACCGTGATCCATGATGAGTCTTGGGTGGGGTGGCTCAGTAGTGAATATGGGGATTGTTGAGTGAAGACAAAGTCCTTTAGCCAGGTCAAGTCAGCATACTGGGGCAAACTGCAGATCCTTTGCCTGAATTCCTTCTACCTCTCGGAAAAAGGAAAAATCAACCGCCCACGGAGCTGATTCTGAAAATCCTCAAAATTTACAAAACAAAATCTGCTGGGTCCACTCTGGTCAGAGTCTGCTGTCCAGATCATGTGGAGCTGAATGCAGATGACAGTCGCAGGACCAATGAGTCGACATAAAGTGAGACATTTATTAAGGCTAATTGTCATGGTAAAAGAAAAAACAACAAAAAGTAACAAACAACCTAAACTGGGAAATAAAATAAAAACGACACGTGACATGCGTAACAGGAAATAAGTGCTGGTTAGCGGTGTGGTCGTCATTTCCTGATCTACAGCAGCACTGTTACACCAAGAGCACAAAACAACTGAAGCAGCTTTTCCAGAAACACAGGTGAGTCCTGCTGGTTAATCATCCCTGAATCTTTTGTGCTTATACTGAATTTATGCTTGACTTTAAAGATGACTTAACATTCCCTGACCTGGGGACCAGAAACGCTTAAAATCAACTCCACACAGCTGCCTCAGCACCACTGCTGCCTCTATCAGGATGCATATGTAATGACACCATTACAAATTTCTCACTGACTAAGGCTTAGGTGCGTCCTGGTGCCACGTGGTGTAATAGTCATCCTTACACTTATATATGTGGTTCATAATGAACAGTCTGTCATTAGCCCATCGTTACATTCAGTGCTGTGTGTTCAGTGATCCAACATTCAGTCATTCTTCTGCTGCACAAAAGCGTTTCCTCCAAAAAATACATGTACGGTTATGCGAGCAGTGAACCTCAAAGCTCTGCTCATCTGTGCTGAGCAAAGTTGTAGAAAACGGTTTAACAGTTGAACCACTTTAATGCTGTT